AATAATATAAAAAAAGAAGGAAAAAATAACAAAACGAACGATTAGCCAAAATTTAATAATTGAAATAGTGTTCATTGTGTTCAAATGTGGTTTAAGAAATTTAGCAGATTTTTTAAAACCCGTTCTTTTGGAAATTGCCAAAGAAATAGCTACAACAACGCCCATGGAAAATATAAGAATGCTATAATAAACTTCAGATCTATGTCATTACAATTTGTTATTATTATTATAGTACATTCACAGAAACATTGTGAATATTGGTAGTAGCAGTTTGAAGGAGTTGCAATTGAAGCAGTAAAATAAAAAAAAAAGAATTATGCCAATGATAATGATAATGATTATGATAATAACAATGAAAATAAGGAGAACAAGATGAAGAAGAAAAATAAGTTCGTAGCAGCGGTAGTAACGAATTGTCTCATTTACCACTTACATAGGGAGATTTATTGTTATTTAAGCTAAGTGCAATATTTCACTTGCTTTGTCTACTTCTTGCTAAGTAGGATACTCCTCGAACGGATATAATGTTTATTTTGCCTGATATTATATTTTTCATGTATATACAATTTTGGACCATTCATTGTATTCTCATATTTCTATAAAAGTATGAAACTTACTGCCAGTACTCAAAATCACTGTAAACTTTGGACAATTCAGCAACACATGTTGCCGTAATGATGTACATAGATATATGATTGCTATATATATTTATAACACAGATGTGTATTAATGCCTGTATATTATACATGAATGTATAATAAATTAATGAACAATAACATAGCGAGTTTTATTATCAACTGTTTATTATCCATGTTTGACAGGTTCACATATTTTCGGAAGGCATCTTTCTTCTTCATGTTAAAAACAGACAGTATGATGGACATTAAATGAGCACTACAAAAAGTATGATAAACAGTTAACATGTATTTGGTATAATTGTGTTTTATTTTATTTTGGACAACGACGATTATATCGCACTATATTTTATGAAATATACACTTGAAGAGTTTAGGAGTGCATATAAGTTTTACTTCTCGTATTTTCAAATAATTTTCGATAACTGCGTTGTAAATACATTCATGCGTCTATATATCGTTTTAAAATACAAATACCCGCAGATGCTTAAACGTCTTTTTCTCACTTTATGCCTTGTATGTGTTTAATTGGTTTGAGAGAAGAATGCAAGAAGGAATGATGATTTTTGTTCTTCATGGATATGTAGCTGGAATCAACACGAGGGGTAACTGTAGGGGAATACAAGTTCACCAGGTAAATTTCCTCTGTGTTAAATGTAAAGGACTGGATATTGAAATAAATTAAATCTCCTTTATTGAATTGAAATGATTTTATAACAAAATGAATTGCATTTATAAATAGACAGAAAGATGCAAGGTCAAATAATACAATCAACAACAACAAAACACCCTTCTTGTAATTATATTAGGCTTAATTTTGTTTGAGAAAGGAAATCCGAGATCAAAATGGTTGAACCCATTCTCAAGAAATTAATGCGTTGCATTGGATTCTGCTCTAATAAGAGTGGATTCAAGTCCAAAACGACGCTGTCCCTCATATGACTCATAACAAGTCACCCATTATATATTGTCGGTACCACATTTAGTTTCATCAACACACGTTACTAAAGCATTCTTCTACCCTAGAAGAGGGGAGAAGAGCAATGGTTATACCATTCAGCCATGGTGCCGAACGATACATCTACTATAATGGCAATGTATACATGTACAAACAAATTACTTTGTGCTATGCTAACTAAGTTGCTCGGGTGACTACGCATTTTGACTACGCTTATAACCAGGTGACTCTGGGTATTGGTTCCAATGCATTATTTTGTATAAAAGTGTCCTTATTTCATTGTGTTTAATTCTCCCCTCTTAATTACGTGTTTCACTACTGCTACTGTTTTTTTAAATCTACATTACTTTTTTTCTTCCAGGAACCTATATTATACGAGCCATGCTTTTTAATAGGTTCCTCACATTCTATTTAATATATTATATGAATTGAGAATCATTGACATGTGCTCATTTATACTAACATTGTAATGTATAATTTTTTATTTTATATATATGTTATATTTTCTGTAAAATGTGGAACATTAAACCTGAAACTTAAAACTTGAAGTATGATATCGTGAACTTGCATAATATAAATGTCTGTATGGGGATAATGGCACCATTCACAATTATAACCCAACATCAAAGTGATCACATGGGGCCATACATGCCATAAATCAAGAAGGCAGGTAATGAATGCACGTGGGTTGACACATCCACGGTTATTATAATCTACTGATAATCGGGTGCCAGATATGAACAATGTAGGCCTATTACAACCTAACACAATAAATGAATATATGGGTATACGCTATGACACTTGTATCATGTATGGGGTTGCCATATAGATGAAGTAGAAAGCTTCATTTGTTATTCACACAAATATAGTAAACATCTTACTCATTTAACGATTTGTATATACATGATATGAAGTTTATTTTTGTATGCGGTGTAACAACAATAACATTTATCAAAAACAGGTAGGCTGGGAACAAATGGTTCTTTAACAGTGGTGGTTAAATGATAACATGTTATGAAAACAAATGTGTATGCGTCCTGAAAAGAGGGAATGCAACAAATAGTGCACAAACATAAAGATACCATGTAAATAGTAAACATGTTTTTTTTTTGTATAACTCTACGACAGTTCCCCTCCCCTTCTCATGCCCTTATTGGAGGGATGACGTAATAAAGAAAGTGTATCCAGAATGTGATAGGGGGGCATTTCCACTCCATAGATACTATCTACACATGGAAAGAAATGATATTAGTTCAAACGCATAGAGATTACAACAGATATGCGATCATGACAAATCATTATTCATTATACATGCATACAGATCGGGAGTAAATCTAGACGAATACCGGGGAAGGGGGTCGAGAAGACGTGGGGAAGGGGGGGGGGGAGACGTGGGGGATGGGGGGTGAAGATTGAAAACAAAATGGAAATGCTCAAAGGGGAACTTCTCACTGTCTAAATTTTCAAGAGTATCGAAGTACCAACGTCATATACATTCGTCTTCCAAGTTACTGATTCTTATCAAAAGAGCCTGCATATGAGGTTTACCGTGAAATTATTCAAGCAACAGGCTGGGCGAGCATGGCAAATTTAATGGTATAAGGCTTTTGTGATATAGTCCCTGTGATATTGTGATAAACATCATCGTTTAGCACTAAATTGGTCGGAACCAGCAACCTTCGTTGACAACTTGTATGACGTCACACTTCGGTACTCTTTTGCCAAGCATATTTTAATGATTGCGAGAGGAAAAGAAAAACACGACGCATTCCTTTGTCTATACCTCAGTCACACCGCCAAAACCGACTTCACACCAACCCCAAACCGATCGATTCCTGGCCTTATGGGTTAATCTTTTGTTCGGTCTATTTTCGGTCTAAAGTCTGTTTCGTTGATGTGACTGCGATGGCGGCACTCACATATAATTTTGGTCACGAAGCAGTATAGACCCATGACTGACTATTATTTATGCATAGAAATGTAACCACACATTTTTAAGGTAATTTGTATTCTCCACTTATTAGGATTAGTTTATTCGCGTTTGGTCATGGCCACTTGATATAGTACTGGCCGTTAGATCAGTTTCTAGTTTTGATATGATTCCTTAGGGTTTCGGATTTAATATTTTGATGAAAATATACACAAAAATACAAAGAACTTTGTATTTTGCACTTCTCCTTCGAGCATGTCAAGATATTTTTTCAAAAAGGTAACTGGCAGAAACATTATAACAATAATACATATTTGCGAGTGCATTAGTGAATATGTACTGCATGCAGTCTACTTTAGAGTCACAGTAGGATAATGAACGAGACTTGTTGAGCTCATCGTCAGTCTCATTGTGACATCAAGGAGTGCAGTGCATATTATTAATGCACGAGCTAAAAAGGTGTATTATTTGTTATACAAGATGGGTCTACATTATGAGTATAAGGTCAAGAAATTGACGGTTGTTATCACCAAAATGCACTCCCCGTGCATTTGGTAACAAATAATGCACGCACACGTGATCCAATTCAACGCTTTATATTGGCTACATTCTTGAACCCATTTAAAAAGAAAGACTAGTTAACGAACATGGCGTAGAATAAGTATCGTATATTATGCCCATTTAAATCTTGTTCAGAATTGGCGTCTTAATGCATGCTTTTTGGATTACTACATAGCAATTCAATATTTATTTATGGGAGTCCTCCCCCCCCCCCCCCCCTTCTCTCAAACGCACACACGAAGCAACCTATACAAGGGTCATTGAAAAAAAAATCATGTGATGTAACAATTACAAAAGCTAAAAACAACTAATTGGATGGGGTAGGTGGACAGTTACCGTTGTTTCCATCCCAAAAAGAAAAGTATAAAGTGATAAGGTTAAGGGAAAGTGCTTAGACGGTGTTGAATTGGAGAGAATGGAGAGAAGCGGGACAGATGAAAAGGGGATAAGGGAGTGGAAAGTAAAGTGGGTATGCCAGTCTGAAAGTGGGAGATTTATATATGTATATATACATATATGGTTCCTGTAACACGTCTGACTTCTCTACAATTTCGTAAGAGACTAGTGTAGTATTTAGAACAAAATCATGTTACAACCGGGACCCTCTTTCAAAACATATACCCCCCCCCCCCCAATGATAATACTCTCAATCTTCGCTTAGCGACTACCTCTCTAGAAAGGCAAGCTGTCTATCAGCGTGTCAACACACAAACGTCAAAAAACGTCAAAACTGCCAAAACGAGGGGTGGTCGGCACCGACGCCGATCTGGAACCTTCGGTGCCAGCCCTCCACATGATTGTTCGTGCGAAATTCCCCCTGCAGTGTCGCATTGAACATGTTCCACATTATGGGCGGGAACCTCGCTGCCTGGCGACCATGTCCCGCGGCTCTTTGAGGTCGACCCACATAAGTATCCTAAAAATAATTGAGGACAGGTTGCAGCTCTGCCCTTGCAATGCCTGCCAAGGCTTCAAACGCCTCCACGGTGTCTTCCACTGGCACAAATGCAATCGCTCCTATCATTCTCGCCTGTGTCCGGATCTCCTCATCCTCGTTGTAGAGCACCTGCAGCCCTTCTTGCTTGATCTAAAAATAATAATATAAAACTCATAACAGTACATGTACCAGCCCTTTCACACTTCAGAAATATTGTTTGTTGTCTACCCATTGAGCAAAATGCATAGATATTGGTAACTGTTCATTTAGTGTGGGGGAGGGGGGAGGAACAAACCGCTGTCCCCTATTTTTTCGCCCGAATCCGCCAGGGCTGCCCGAAATTTTCTCCCTTGCCTGACTATACGCAATGAGCGTTTCCTATAGGAGAAAATAACATGCTTGTATCCTACTCAGCTTCCTTGTGGCCTACCAATTTTCAGTATAACTATCGATTATATTCCCCCCTCCCCCTCCCCTGGCGATTAGAGGTCCGTGTTTTTTCCAGGTCAGTTTTAGGCACAATCGAAAAGAGATATAGCCCCTAGCCCCCTACCCTCTAATCATCATATAAAGTTTTTGTTACTGGGCTTGAAAGGATGATTAAAAGAAAAAATATTTATTAGAGTCCTCCCCCCCCCCCCCCCCTCTCTCCTCAGCATTTATCATGGCTTGCAAGTCCACTTACTCAAATTTCAAACTCTACCTAATATTTGTATCACTATTTTTTTTTTTTTTTAGCCATGAGCCTTGAATGTACTATTTGATCAATAAATGGCGGGTAAAAAAAAGGGATCAACTGTCAATATATAAATATCACCATACCCGTTCATGTATCCTCTGACAGAGATGAAAAAGACATCCTTGAACGTGAGCATTTGGAAATGCCTGGGAAAATGCGTTCTTCGCTGCAAATTCGTAGTCGATCATGATTCTGGTTGGGTAGAACGCCCTTCCCTCCTGTAGTGCTGCTAGTACCCTTGTATATGACGCCTGGTCCTTATTTAGCATGAGGCAATAAACCAAAGGCACCACATGTCCGTCATATGTGGCGTGGATTGTCCACAACTGGAAGAAGATGGTCGGCACTACCTTGAACGTGCCATCAGCGAACCAACTTTCAGACGTTGACAGCAACTAGTAGCAAAACAGAATGAATACATTTGCATCGAATATTATATATTTCAAACAAACAAACTGTTTCACTTGCAAAATTGTATGTATTATTTCCAAGCTATTTTATTTACTTACTTACTGTTTTTTAATTATCATAGCATGATAATTAAAAAACATAATCGAAATAGGAGATCATGTCGTATCAGAACAATACCCCCTCAGGGGAATTGTTCTAGAACCGATCCTGTACTTTGTCGAGAATAATAACCAATTTTAATTTAATTTCAATTTCAATTTTATAGGAAGTATTTGGATATCTTTATGATGACCTCACAATTTCAATTCATTCTAATGAATCCTGAAATCTTTTTTTACTCAATACGTATGCTTTTGCAGCACTTCCTAAAATTGCGGAACCGTAGAAGGCCAAATGGCAATGAACCCCAACACTTGTTCTTACCTGAAGGTTCCTTTCCGTAGTAAACACTAAAATCCGGCGAGGGTCGTTTCTTCCAGAGTCGTGATAAAGGAAAAGCTCTCCACCCAGCGTCAATCGTTGATCTACAGGGATTTCCAGATCTTCCACAGTCATGGGAATGGGGAGGGCGTTTGGGTTCTCTTGGCGCTGTCTCCGGATATTCCTCCTCATGTTGTTTAGTGATGGTAGCGCTGCCCGCCCTTCCTCTGTTACCTCGCATAGTGTCGCCATAAGCACCTGTTGTGGTCTTTCATTGGACTCAGTGGCCCTTCTCTTCGTTGCTGCTTTAACCTTCGTAGCATTGCTTCTACCATGGTTAGGCGGATGGTTATGCTCCGTTCTATCGCGGAATTGGTTATCACCCATGACCTATTAGAGAAAAAGAAAAGAGAGAGAGAGAGAGGAAGTGTGGGGAGAGAGAGAGAGAGAGAGATTGAGAGAGATAAAACATTATTCCCATATATATAGGCTATTAATCATCCACTAATTATTAGGCATTATGGATGGTAGACGAAATGGGCATTTAGAAAACTAGGAATCAGACAAAATGAATAATAGACCAAATGGTAATAGATTAATTGGGGATTAGACCGAATGACTGTCGTCCTAGATGGCCGCTAGATCTAACGATAAGTAGACGAAACTATTATGGGACAAAGTGGATAGTAGACTGGCTGGTTGTTAACCAAACGGCAATTCACCCTAAATAGCTACATGTACGTTGATCTCAACACAACGAATTAAGTTTCCTAAAAAGCAACTCCTTGTGATTTTTTTGTTAACGGGGAGTCCAACATTGATAGTTAACTTCTCAAGACTAAACCTGAAAAATTAGTGAAGCGTGTTGAACAAAGTTTGAATTTTTGAAAGTTAGAATCACTTTCATCCCGTAGATACAAACTTAATTGTTTATTTGATTGTTTTGTGTTTGTTTTGGGTTTTTTCCCCTTTGTCACTATGATTTGATTTTGTAGTTAAATTTCTGTAAATATGTTCATTTATTATAACTTTCATATTTGTTTGTGAATTATATTTTCATTGTTTTAAATTTTATTCGAATTTTATGTAATCACTGCCTCGCTGAAAAAACAGCTTTTGCTGAATGCGGGCACAAGTTGTATTTGTTTTTAACCATGAATAAATTAAAAAAAATATATATATATAGGTAGGGCTCTTCGAATTAGCCGAATCGGTATTTTCTGTATAAAGTAGCGGCAGACAACTTTATAATATAATAATATAATAAATTTAATGTATATAGCGCTAAATACAAATGTCTCTAAGCGCTTTACAAATATATTATTACCCCGGTCATTGGATTCAGTGCTTACCCGCACACAATGTGTGCACAATCTCCACTCCCTGGGGAGCATTCCAGCCAGGCGTTACATGACGCTCAAAAACTGTTTGACCAACAATGACGGTCGCATCCTACCGGGTACCCATTTAACACCTGGGTGGAGAGTAGCAAGTGCAGGTTAATATCTTGCCAAAGGATATTAGTGCCGTGTCGGGATTCGAACCCTCGACCTTCGCATCTCCAAGTCAAGCGCCTTAAACCACTCGACCACGACACTCCCTTTCCCGTTTGTTCCTACACACAAAAAATTATTTCTAGAGAACCTGTAATAATATACTCTCCATATTATATTTTAAGTAGTGCCCCAAGGGTGAAGGCGCTTGGGAGAAGAAAAAAAAATCTTCATATTTGTGTACAAGACAAACGAAGGGTTATTTGTCACTACGGCACAATCCAATGAGAGAATTGCCAATTTGAGATTTGCATGGATGTATATAGTGATCTCATATATCAAACATTCATTATTTTCTTATCATTGGTCCGATTTATTCCAAACTTTTGCCATTCTGTTTCTCTGATGTATCTGCTTTCATTCCTTAAAAGCAATGGAATTGTTACAAGGGTTGGATTTCCTTTGAACCGTAAAGATACTATGTCCCTTTTGCAGCAAACATCTAATGCTGTCGAACTTTGTAGGAATTATGATTATGTCATGTATGTCCTATCTGTGAAATATAAACGTTAGCAGTGTCCTAATATTCAAATTATGCAAGGAAACCCGTTTACTTGCTAGACTTCACCGTCAGACACTATTGAGTGACTGACTGGCCTTTTTTCTTCTTTGGTAATAACATATATAAAATGAGCTGTAAAGGGTACATAAGCATTTGCCTACATCAATAACCCACTTCTTGTAATGGCCAAATTAAACTGATTGAATCACTGCGCAGCTTAAAACGTACGACCATTCGGTACAATGGTCTGAAAATCAGACTGTTACTTACTGGCTCTATAGCTCTTAAGTCGATTCGACAACTAATATTTGTTATTTTCCCACTTAAAGACATTTTCAAACCCCCGTTTTTTAGGAGAGTTCTAAATTAGTATTATCTTTCAAATGCCGTTGGAATTTAACCTTTTCATTTTTTGGCCTGCAAATGGGAATAGTACCTTTAACAGGATTGTATCTGTGCTTTTACAGAAATATTTGTGTGGAAACCAGAAGTAGCCAGTCATACTTAATCAAGCAGGTAAATGAGAGGAATGGGTCGGTGAAAGTTTAAATGAATTCCGATTAAAGATAAGATTTTATTTTGTTTAAGTTGCAAACTCCCCTCCCTTCTACTCTGTACTAAAAATCAGAAATCTTTATTTTCCTTAGACAAAATTTTCAGTTATACATGCACCCTAAATATACTATTTCAAATGTGTTTTCCTATCCAATCCTTGTATGGAAGAAATCTATTCCGTCATCAACAACGAAGAGAATTAAGTTGATTACATTTTCTGAGCAAATTGGAGAGGAGTGCGGATACGCCACAATGTTATCGATAATGTAATGTCATTATTATTACTGAAAATATTATTAATGACAATTTTAATATTTTCCTTCTTAAAGCGTCTGGTAGACGCCGTAATAGAAAATGAGGAAAATAAAAGAAAATAATTGATTACATTTTTGTTTCCTACTTCATAACTGGAAGGGGTTGAGCTCTAAATCTTTCAGAGTATTGTTCAAAAATTGTATTGCATATCACAAGCCATCTGCAGAAAAAATCTCATCGAGATTTTGAGGGCTTGCAAATGTGTGATACTATCTTTAAAGACAAAATTTGGAAAATTAGCTACATTAATGCCTTTGCTTAATTGTAGTGAGACTGTCAAATTGATGATTTGTCAGCTCTGAATGCGAACACCATGCACACCCATCGATGACCTCCTGTTACCCTGCTTAACATCCGTTAGTTCATGGATGACTGATCACAAGTTAAAGAACAAAATAATCACAATTCTAACTTCAGGTCAGCGAAAATGAACAAAAAATAACATTAACAACAAAAACAAATCTTAATATCTCTATTTCATTTAATATTGACAGAAATTAAACTTGGTATATCTTGTCAGTTACTTTTATCATATTGGACCTATATGTCATGTTTGACTGTGCACAAATTAAAGACAAAATAACCATGTTTATTCCTAAAATGTATGTCATTTCTTCCTTTATTGTAGAACAATGTTTTTCAGAAGGTCGTTGACCTCCATCCATTACTTCATAATAATATTAATAATGGTGGCTTCTTATATAGCGGACATGTCTGTCACGTTGTGACGCTCCTGGCGCTGCCCCGATTATTACCCTTGCTTTAGCAAGGCGGCCACTGCGGCGCTCTAGCATTTCAACGAATTAATTCCTACCAGGTACTCATTTACATCACCTTTGAAATGTGGCTATTCCTCTCTTGTTTGTGTGTTTGTGTGATTGTATGTTTTTCCCTTAATAAACATGCTGGCTCGGAGTGTAACCTCACTAGTCATAAGGACCGCGATTTATTACGTGGAACTTCCGATACGTGAAGAACCGCTATTCATAAAACGGAAAGAGGGCCACTATTCACAAAAGCGTGAGGACTGTTATTCTTGAGGACCGCTATTCATAAAGTGAGATAAGGGTCGCTATTCATAATTCACATCTAGGGGTCATTACTCTTAAGGACCGCTATTCATAATACGAAATCGGGGTCGCTATTCATAAACAAATTGATGTCCTTTATTGTTTAATATGACATTGCATTTTTTGTATTCTATCTTTAATTTGTGCTCACTCAAGCATAACCTAATAAATACGATGCGGGGGAAAGTAACTGACTAGCTTGCCGTCTTTAGTTTCTTTCAACAACAAGAAGTAAAGAAATACCTTTATGACTTAATAATTTTTTTCCTCTGTTTGTGCTCAGTCAACCATGAAATGATGGAAACATCGTCACTGAAAAGTGGGGTGGCAACGCATATTACGGAAAATGTTTGCGTTTTAGGCCGGTCTCCAAATTTTAAGTAATATTTTAATGTGGTTATTTGTTTAATCTTGTGCTCAGCTATAACCGTTAAGTAATTGATTACGATCTCAGTAGATCATTAATAAGCTTACGGTTCCTCTATGAACTGAAGCAACGACACTAATTTCATGAAGTTTAAACTGTGATTCTTATTTTATCCCCTTTACCTTGTGCTTATGGTAGGCAATGCCAGCCCACCCCCTCCCCTCCTCTGAAAATACCACTGCAAGGAGGTCCTCTCCGAGTGTGATGTTTGCATATAGTGCGGAAAATCATCAATTTGGCTGTCCTTAGCTACAGCAATGACATTGATCTTGCGAATCATTTTTTTTTCGGTCTTTAAAGGGACTTGGTAACATTGTTTATATGAGAGAAAATGGTGCTAAGGCAGTGACTTCATTGCTAGATGTACAATTAAAGATAATCTGAAAGTTTGAGTAAAAACGGACCATTATTAATGATAACCATTGGGAAAAACTGATCTCACTGATCGATTCCTTAATTCTCCCAACTATATTATCACAATTTAATTACATTTCAGGTGAAAGTACATCGTCTTGTGACGATTGCAACAAACTGGCTCTTCATAACATTCCAGACATTTTAGTGTTGAAAGATTTTAAAAAGCCTGTCTTATGTCTTATTTTCATGGAAAAACGGTTTGGAAAATTCAAAAATGGTTGGGAGAATTTACTGTTAATCACTGTTAAAGGGTGTTACTCAGTGTCCGCTTCAAAGAAAACCGTGCATTTATTTGTGGTTTAAGAATTTTCTCAGGATTTTTTGCCTGTAAGTACAGTAAAAGGAATATAATAAGTAAGATTTCATACAAAAATTACACCGTTTTTTTAATCAACCTTCAACAATGTTACCGAATCACTTTTTGAGTTCTTAATACGGCCGGGGGGGGGGGGTGATTATGCCCCCTTAAGATCGCTGCCGTGAAACGGCCGATCTCCGCGAAAATTTGCACGCATGTCAAGTGAAGTGTATTATACAATACTATGATAATTTCAATTTTTTGAAAAATTCACTTATTTGCATATTTATGGTAATTTATGCAAATAAGGTCATGAATCACATTTTACCCATAAATCATATATTATTCATATTTAAGCATCCGATTTTCAAAAACATTCTTTTAAAGATGCGCAAGACTCGAAAGAAAAAGGTCAGCGAGCGTCGGGGCGCCATCCATATGCGTTCCCGAACAATTAGAAAATCGTGGAGGGGGGGGGGCATAATGCCCAGGGGCGGATCCAGGAATTTCTTCCCGGGTGCGTATATGGGGGGCACACGGGGGGGGGGGGGGTAAGAGAACATATAAATATTTTTGTTTTAGTCCCCCAAAACGCAACGACTCAGCCAGCCGCTGAATAAACGGGGGGAGGGGGGGGGGGGGGGGGGTAAGCGGAGATAACTTTTTTTTGGGTCCCATAAAAATTGCTGAATAAGCGGGGGGGGGGGGGGTGGTAAGCGGACCCCACTTTTGTTTTGGTCCCATAAAAATCGCAGAAAAAGCGGGGGGGGGGGGGTTTGGTAAGCGGACACTTTTTTTTTTGGTCACGAAAATTGTAAATTTGACATTTTGTTTCGTTGGAGTCAACTTTTTAGGTCAGGCATTTGTATATATATATATATTTTTTTTTTATTTATATTTTTTTTTATTACAAACAATTATTGAATTTTGGGGCCCGTGGGGCACGTCCCTGTTTTTCAGTACATTTTGGCGAATTTAGGGCTGATTTTAACATATTTTTGAGCGGCCGGGGGGAGGGGGGGACGTGCCCCCTCTGCCCCCCCCCCCGGCCTTATTAGGGTTAAGGTGTGTTGAGTCATTTATGACTCAATGGCGACCTCTGATTTTTATGGAAACGTTACGTAAGAAAAACGGACACAGTTGTGTCTCGGTGAAATCGTTTAAAAGTTTGCAGTTAAGAATTTATAAGGAGCTGTTTAGGGGAACAACCCTTTTGAGCCGACTGTCCATTAATTATATTGACCAAAGAGATCACTGGTCCTAGGAAGCCGTGCGTCTAAAGTTTTAACTTAAGTTTATGCTATGCTAGTGTCCATTTAAAAAAAATTGAAATTATTATATAAATTGTTAGGCTCTGTTCAACCTTAATCATTTTCATATTGGTAATATATTAGACAATGGGCTGTGGCGTAGAACCAATAGGCTCTGGGACTTATGTATTGTAATAAACGGTTGGTACAAGTCATTCACTCCACAATATGTTGGTACGTTTGATGCTTACCTTAATTTTTGCTCTGCATTGTCGTGTGTTCCTTCGTAGCTCACATTCAAAGCCCTCGTACCCATCTGCCAAATCTTTTTGCTTGACGTACATGTATCCTCCCAGGAGGAGCTTTCGCCCACCCCTCTCGCTCTGTATCCATTCCATCTTTGTGAAGTTTGACTTAATATGCCACGAGTATTGAATCAAATTCAATTGCCAGAAGACGCATGTATCAAATCGAATTCAATTGCCAGAAGACGCATGTATCAAATCGAATTCAATTGCCAGAAGACGCATGTATCAAATCAAAGTACGGAATTTACATTTCTTAGAAATTTAACAATACATTGCGCGCAGATGAGTACGCGTTACAGCTAGTCTCCCCCAAAATGGCCCAACAAAGAAATTAGGATGTAAGATTTCATTATTTATGCATCCTCTGTAACTTTTCTAATCAGCTGATAGTATATTTGTCTTTGTATGCATAATAGGCCCTCATCCACGATCTATTCCAAACTAAAGGTTCTCTTCATGTTTATAAATGTAATGTAATATATATATTTATATATATATATATATTTCTGTTGTCATGGTGAACTCAAATATGTTTTCTTGTACTGTAATTTATTTTGAAATAAAAATTGCCTTCAAGTTAAATATATGGTATGTACGGTGCCATATTAAAGAAAATAACTATGTCTTGTCCTTTTTTTTCTTGCTCGTTCACTAAATCAAGAAACAAATGTGCCCATACGTGTGTACATAGCTCTTGACGAATGCCAGAGTGATGCAAAATAAATAGTTTGTGAAGAATTTAAGATTGGGCGAAACTTTTCATTTCTTAAGAGGGCACTGTGTCTAACAAAAATTTGAAATAACGCTGCTCAAGAGAAATCCTTCGTAGAAAACAGCAACCACAGTGGTGTTGCATACATTATAGTTAAAGAAAAATGTGTAGTAATGAGAGGAACATCACGCGCAAGTATTTGAACGAATGTGGGTTCATGCACGGGATTTTATGGGCTCGTAGCCTTCACAACATCTCTCAATGTGTCAAATCGTCTTTTGCTATTGAATCCTGATTGTCTTCGGGGGGGGGGGGGGGTAGTTGTCCTCAGGCGTAGTTATCCATGGGGGCGGGTAATTGTCCTCGGGGGGTAATTCCTCAGGGGGTAGTTTTCCGGGGGGTAATTGTCCTCGGGGGGTTGTTTTCCGGGGGGTAATTGTCCTTGGGGGGTAATTGTCCTCGGGGGGTAATTGTCCTCGGGGGTAGTTGTCCTCGGGGGGGTAGTTTTCCGGGGGGTAATTGTCCTTGGGGGGTAATTGTCCTCGGGGGGTAATTGTCCTCGGGGGGTAATTGTCCTCGGGGGGTAATTGTCCTCGGGGGTAGTTGTCCTCGGGGGGTAGTTTTCCGGGGGGTAAATTTCCGGGGGGTAATTGTCCTTGGGGGGTAATTGTCCTCGGGGGGTAATTCTCCGGGGGGTAAATTTCCGGGGGGTAATTGTCCTTAGGGGGTTATTGTCCTCGGGGGGTAATTCTCCGGGGGGTAATTTTCCGGGGGGTAATTGTCCTTGGGGGGTAGTTTTCCGGGGGGTAATTTTCCGGGGGGTGATTGCCCAGGGGGTAATTGTCCTAGAACCCCAAATGTTCAATGTTGCATTGCATTCGCGATATCTATCCAGGCCGGATCAGTATGATAATTTATCAAATATCAAATATATCAATTAGAAGGCGGTTTCCCGGCAAAATTGGTATCATCACGTGTTAGTCAAAACATATTCTTTCAAATGATTGGTAATAAGAGCATCCATTTCATTTTTGAGAGGGGGCGTTTCCAAAACTTTTTTTCTTTGTTTTACCTTTAAGCACTTGAAATTGGTCGTGGGTAAAATGATTTGATTGTCTGAATATGATAACACCTAGTTAATACCAAAATGATCTTTTTGTTTTGGTCTGGACCAAAACATACGAAGAAAATCTTATGTTAAGGCCGCCTCCTCAACAAGTGCATTGCTTTATTGAGTTTACGCTTTTATATGAAGATCTGGGGGTGTTTCACAAAACATTTTTTCAATTACAAGTAACAAACATCAGTGAAAAATCTGCTGATAACCAATCGTAAGCAAGGATGTCACTAGTTTATAACAAAAACTGTCATTTTTCACTGATGACAAGTTTTGTGAAACACCCAACTGCTTTCCGCATATCTTTATAACGTAATCATTTTTCGTTTAACTATAAACAACTCAGATCTAACCTCTTGTATTGTTAGAATTTTTTTACTAATAAAGCTTTATATATTTGATTTAAAGATTAACCTTTGCTATTTTTCTTCTTCATATTATTATTATTATTATTGTTTTTGCTTAAAAAAGAGTCCCTTTTTTAGTTTTGCCAACAATAACAGACGTAAATTGTATCGTAAGCGGAGTTTAGGATAAACGATATTTATATTATTTTGTATTTGAAAGAACACTTTGCCTGAATCCATCTGTTGCTTTTGTATCAATACAGTCCAAGGTTATCAGGGTTAACCTCCCTAACCCTTTATGTTCCTGTGCGATGGACGTTTTCAAAAGTTTCGCAATGATATAACCGTAATAACTAATACCACTATCATACACGTCGCTTCTCCAAACAAAGAATTAAAAAAGACGTACCACGTGATAAAGAAGAATGGTAAATTGTATCTTGCTGAGTTTGCATTATTCTAACATATTCAACCACTTCTCTTGATCATTATGATATCATAAACATTTAGTGTTTGGCCATAAAACTCCGAATGAGCCTGCAATACAAATACACGTAGTTATTGACACACTGCTATCATGCACGCGATTTTATTTTTTAAATTGAATTGTATATTTTAAGGCCTTTTCTTTAGTATATACTGTATTTAGTATACATATCGTTCAATCTAGATCAACGAGACTAATAATATCTTTTCGACTTCTTGTTCGTCGTAGTTTCTTTTGGGGGTTGAGGTCATTCCTCACAAGCATTTGCTTTGCTATTACTCCTTTCCATATTCCATACTGCATTGTTGAATTATTGTATGTATGTTTTTAATTGTGTGGGTAAATAAAATACACACAGGGTGCTCATGGTGCTTCAATATTTATCATTTATTTATTATTATTTATTTCAGTGCTCAAATCTTGCAAAGAATCCCTTCCTGCCGGTACCCATTAAATACATGGGTTGAGAGTGGCAAATATAGAGTAATGTCTTATCAAAGGACATTAGTGCCGCAGTGGGACTCGAATCACGTACCATGTGATTCACAGTTCGACGACGTATGTACTAGATCACAACACCTCTACCATTCTAATTTACGTTTGTTTACATTAAAATCAAGGGGAGTCATATTACCCTGGTGCCATGTGACCTTAAACCGTGTGCAAATCTGGCTATAAATGGTTAAGGAAACGCGGCAAGCGTTCTCATTGGTTGTTTGAAGGGGTCACATTTGCATAATGCCACGTAGGCGATGTTTGTAGGGCGTGGAAAATTGACTGTCAGGAGTTATCATCTTGCACAGCGAATTTAACAAGTATCATTGCCGCCTAAGTGTTCTTAGTGAGTGGTTTACAGGTCTTCTGAAGAATTGAGGAAACATGGTCATCTTAACTGTGAAGGAACAGTCTTTCACTGACACAATATTCTTAATTTTCATTTCACGAAGAGGAAATCGTGATAAAGAATTATACTATTGATCAAGATTTTTGTTATAAATCTTTGCTTTAATACGCCACTTTCAAAATATCCCGACTGGCCTGGTGAAGTCCATTTTGAGTGTCATCAATCTCGGCCAAGATCATATGATTGGATGCCTATATACCTGCCGAAATTCGGAATTTTATCATTATTACCAATGGAGGGAGCTGAGAGGAAGCTACGTTAACTCACTGCTTTGCTTCGTCAGGTCAATCTCCCCTAGGTTCCACAATTATCTACTTCGAATCACTGGAATCCAGCATTCAATCAAGTGAGTATAGGCCTGGATTTTTTTGTAAATGAATTTTTCTGTAATATATATTGTACCTGTCTGTAAAGAATGTCACATGTGCTAAATGCATTATTGACAGAAATTGATTTTCCTTAATGAATATATGCATCAAACATAATAAAAATCAATCGCACCTTTTGAAAGTATCAGGTACGTAATCCTTTCACTTCTCAAACTTTTGAAAAACCAAATTACCCATCTACATATATTAATAGAAACCGTTGTTATTTTTCTTTTTTTTATATTTATCGTTATTGTTATTGTTTTCGCTTAAAAGAGGGTACTCTTTTTCATAATAGATTTGCCAGCAATAACAGACTAGAACTACAAAGTAAGCGGTAATAGGGATAACAATATTTTGTGTTAAAGACCGTCAATATTACTGGGCCAGAAGGAATTGGACCACACAGAGAGGTCACTGACAGGTGGCTATCTCATTAACTCAGCTCTCAATTAACATAATAAAAAGAGGATCATTGGGGACCAACAGGCACCGATTGGGGAAGTTGTCTATATAGAGGGAGCAAGAGCTACACGTAGGACAGTGGGGCTTTAATACATAGGAAACCTCATCCCCAAAACAAGTTCAGATATTCTAAGAGGTTTATAGCAGTATGCATTATTGCCAATTAATATTTAATATAATAATGATAATAATAATAGTAATAATAATAATAATATTTTGCAGCAAAGTGTATGAGAGAGGTATAGACTAGATATTCTTTGCATAATGTACAGTTTCTCATCACCCCATGGGCATCGCCATTTTTCTTGAAGACATGACGTACCATGACGAGTATAATTGATAGGGATATAGATGAGGCTTCTCTGGGTATACACAATTATCATCATCATTATTATTATTGCTTTTATTATCGTCATCAATATTATTATCATCCACCGAGAGAGAAGGGTTTTCATATTTCAATAGTTAGGGAACTGCAGAGCCGAAATAATTATAGTATGCTTCATCCCAGCGCTTTTAAGTCCTGTTATAGTCACGGCAACTCTAAATGCTTATTACATACAATTCGTTTTGCATCGTCTGTCAAAAATGTTATAATATAATCAAATCACACTAGATGAGATTATATAACAGTATGTTTTGACCACCTCGCTGCCGAATACATGAATACAAACATCTTGTATTCGGTGATTTCGAAATATGAATATGAGGATATTTGGGCATCTCTTTTATCATAATTATTATGTCTCCGACCAATTTTTTTTCTTTTCTAAAATTATTTATTAAATACAGTTAACA